TGTCAGTCACACTGCATGCGGTGGTGAGTCCGCGTGTCAGTTACACTGCATGCGGTGGTGAGTCTGCGTGTCAGTCACTGCGTGTGCAGTGGTGAGTCTGCATGTCAGTCACTGCGTGTGCGGTGGTGAGTCAGTGTGTCAGTCACACTGCCTGTGTGGTGGTGAGTCTGTGTCAGTCACACTGCATGTGGTGGTTGAGTCCGCATGTCAGTCACTGTGTGTGCAGTGGTCAGTGTGTCAGTCACCCTGCGCGTGTGGTGGTGAGTCAGTGTGTCAGTGGTTCTCCTCCTCAGCCCCCACCACTGGCCAGGCTCCTTGTGTTCCGATTGGAACTCAGGCTGCTGTGGCCGTCCACTCAGGACACTGGGCTCCTGCAGACACGTCCAGGGCGCATTTATTTCAGGACGGAGGAGGAGCACACACGCATGGTTGCAGGAGGTGGCATTCCCAACGGTGCTGGGCTTTTCCTCCTAGAACACCCACGACCCTCACAGGACATCCGGCCTGCTTGGGGATGGTGGCCAAGAGGTAGGAACTCGGGGTTTCTGGGGAGCCTCAGCCCCACCTGCCCTGGGGTGCGGCCTCCACTACGGAGCCTTGGGGAAGCTTCACAGCTAAGAACGTTCAGGTGTCCTGACCTGACTTCAGGCATGAACGATACACTCATGCTACACGCCCAGGCTGAGCCCACCAGCCTGTGCTCTCCGAGTGCCCCCTTGGCTGGTGGGGCGGCCGCTGGCTGACTCGCCCACCCGCGTGCCAGGAGAAAGGCTTGCCTTCAGTGTGCCGGTGGCAGTAACGCACGCGCTCCTGTCGACAGGTCCAAGGCCCCGGCCTCCAGGAGAGGCGCCGGAGGCCGCGGGCTAGGCCAGCTTGAGGCACTGGGTGTTGAAGCTGTCTCCTTCCTTGCTGGCCACCGCCTCGAGCAGGCTCTGCTTCTTTTGCATGCTCCGCGAGGACTCGAGCTCGTACATGGTGGTGAGGTTGAAGAGCACGCTCTCGTGCAGCCGCTGCCCCGGCTCCCGCTGCACCATGGTCTCCAGCTGCCGCAGCGACTCCTTGAGCTTCCCCAGGTACAGCAGACACACGGCGGCGTTGTTGTTGGCCTGGAGGGAAGGTTCTCGTGGTGGCACGGGTGTCCAGACGCCCTGCCCGAGTTTGGGGCTGCCCCCCCCCGACACCGCCACCAGCAGCACTGCAGAGGCACGGCCTTCACGGACCGCACGCATGTTTGCAGCATCTGCCAACGGCAGAAGGCCGGGGCGCTGCGTGCCCCGTCTGCCTCCACGCAGGCGCCTTACCACTGCGTTGGTGGGGTCCATCCTCAGAATCTCCGTGAAGAATCGGTGGGCTTCCGCAAAGTTATTCTGGCCGAGGTGCAGGAAGGCTCTGCGGGGTGAGTGGCGGGTAAGACGGGCCTGGGAGGGCCGCCGCCAGTGCACCCCCTGCCGGGGCGGTGGGGTGGCTGAGCACGCATGTGCTGCTGCTGCCCGCACAGCCCCAGCCAGCCAAGACCACTTCCCACCCACAGTCAGCCTCTGCTGCCGCCGCCGGAGGCTCCCTGAGATCCTAGGACAGGAAAGTATGAGACTCTTATTGCCAGGCCAAAAAGCTGAAGGTGGAGCTGTGGTTCAAGTGGTAGAGCACTGGACCTAGACAAAAAGACTGCAGACAGCTCCCAGGCCCTAGGTTCGAGCCCCAGGACCGGTACCTACCACACTCTGCCCCAGCTTGCCCCTGCGTGGGTCCACTCCGGACGCATGCCTGCTGGGCTCTAGGCACTTGCCCAGTGCTGTATTTATCCATGTATCTGGGGCTGTGTGACTGTAAAAAACTACCTCAACATCTCAGCGTGACCCGAGGCAACGATGTGCCAGACACGAACCTCCATTCAGCGGCTCACACAGGGCCCTGCCCGGCCTGCAGCAGCACAAAGGGCTGCCTCAAGTCGAATTTTCTAACTAAAAGAACCGGCCTGTTAGCATGCAGGAAGCCTTGGGTTCGATTCCTCAGCACCACATACACAGAAAAAGCCGGAAGTGGTGCGGGCTCACGTGGTAGAGTGCTCGCCTTGAGCACAGAGAGGCTCAGGGACAGCGTCCAGGCCCTGAGTTCAAACTCGAGGACTGGCAAAACAAAAAGAACAGGGCCATGACTGTCGGAGGTCCCAGTGAGCCCTTGGCGGGAGTCGGCGGGGTGCTGGAGGGCGCCCCCCACCCCACCCCACCCCACCCCCAGGAAGTCAGGATCAGGACACGCTCACGTGGAAGTTCCCACCTGTTCATCAAGACCATGGTTTTACCCTGCAGTCCGTCCAGCTTCTGCGCCACCTTCTCAACCTCTTGAAAATACTTCTCAGCGGTTTTGATGTCTCCAATCTGCGTTGACAAAATCATCTGCTCACTCGGTTGGCAAGTCAGATAGGAAAGTCGCACCCTCACGGTGTGGGGGTGGGGCCCTGGCGTGGAGCTGGTGGGAGTCTGTCTGTCTGAGGAGGCTGGGCGGTGAGGCCGTGGTGTTGGTGGGAGTCTGTCTGTCTGAGGAGGCTGGGTGGTGAGGCCGTGGTGTTGGTGGGAGTCTGTCTGTCTGAGGAGGCTGGGCGGTGAGGCTGTGGTGTTGGTGGGAGTCTGTCTGTCTGAGGCTGGGTGGTGAGGCCGTGGTGTTGGTGGGAGTCTGTCTGTCTGAGGAGGCTGGGCGGTGAGGCGTGCAGAGCAGCCTGCTCCCCTGAGCAGCGGACTCGCCGCACACACTGGCTTTAAAAGTCCACCACTTAGAATTAAACAGACAAACATCTAATTCCATAGAATTAAAGTGCTTAAACTTCTGGTGTGATATGGCAGGCCCTCGCCCCTGCCCCCACCCCAATTTGGTTTCTGTGACTTGCGAGAGGGTAGTATTTTGAGCAAATATAGACAGTCCCCACAGGCCCAGTGCTATCCCGCGGGGAACCCATCAGCTCCACAGTGAAACACAACCGGGCCCCGGGCTGGACCAGCACAGGCTGTCCCCCTCCCCCTCCCCGCAACCCAGATTCAGTGCTGTGTCAGCATCAGGATGGAGACTGTACACTGCACATGACTGCGCATGTGTAGCAGCGGGGTGTCGGGCCTCGAGTGTCTGTTCACAGGGGAGGAGCACACAAGCCTCTCCCTGGCTCTCACCGGCAGTGCCCTGCGGCCCGTGAGCATGTCACAGACACCCAAATGGCCCCTGCAGGAAAAACCTTCCCCACCTTCTCTTTCAAGTTATTCCAGGGCTGGGAAGACGGCTCAGCAGCAGAGTGCTTGCCTAGCATGCAGGAAGCCCTGGGTTCGAAACAGAAAAAGCTGGAAGTGGTGCTGTGGCTCAAGTGGTAGAGGGTTAGCCTTGAGCACAAAAGCAGCTCAGGGACAGCGCCCAGGCCCTGAGTCAAGCCCCAGGACTGGCAAAATAAATAAGTTATTCCAAACCAGTGGCTCACGCCTGTCATCCTAGCTACTCAAGAGGCTGAGATCTGATGACCACAGTTCGAAGCCAGCCAGGGCAGGAAAACCCTTGAGATTCACATCTCCAATCAACCATCAAAAGTGGTAGAGGACCAGCATTGGGTTGCTAAGGGACAGTGCCCAGCCCTGAGTTCAGGCTCCAGTGTGGGCACACTGAGTTATTCGAGCGACGTTCCAGCTTCAAACCTGGAAGGAAACTTCCCTTAGAAGGGTGCTGTGGGCTGGGAAGGTGGCTCAGTGGTAGAGCACTTGCCTTGCATGCCTGAGGCCTGAGGCCCTGGGTTCAATTCCTCAGCACCACAAAAGCTAAAAGAAAAAAGCCGGAAGTGGCGCTGTGGCTCAAATGGTAGAGAGCTAGCCTTGAGCTGAAGAGCTGAGGGACAGCGCCCAGGCCGAGTTCAGGCCCCACAACCGGAACCCCCCTCTCCCCCCAAAAAAAGAAGGGTGCTGTGCTCCAGCAGCTCCAAGTGCCAGTCATCGGCTGCTCAGGAGTCTACAGCACACATGCCACACATCTTTGGAAACTGGACCCCTTGACTACAGGTGTCACAGAGTGCACCCAGCTCTAACAGCAAAGATGAAGGAGTGGTTTGCTTTAGGAAACAATTCTGCTAGAAAACCACATTTAAAACAAGTGCACAAGTGTGACTCTAAATCGTCATTTAGTGTGCTCTGCACTGTGCATATAAAATTAGCCCCACCCATGGTGTGCCAAGCCCACACCCGATGTTTTCTGGTTGTAACCAAAACCCCACCAGCAAATGACTTCATTCCTTTAAAAAGTTCATTTACACTTCAAAGAAAAGGGGCCTTTGTCCCTTTCTCAGGTTCCTGAGAAAGTTGCATGCACAAGGCAGTTGGAGTAACCCTCTGGATGACGGGAGGCCGGCACTGGCTGGACGCCTCCCCTCTGCGCTTCCCCACGCTGCGTGTAGACTCTGCCTTGCCTTCAGTCTCTAGCCGTCTCCCCTTGCTCCCTTTCGTCCCTGTCTGCAGATCTACCCACTTCGGCAGGGCAGGCCCACGGCCTCTCCGGGGCGTCAGACAACAGCAAGGCCCCAGTGGCCATGGATGGCCTGCAGCTGTCCACAGAAGCAGAAGAGGACGCCGTAAGCGCTGAGGTGAGCGGTGGAGATGGCTGCAGCAGAGTGCGTGTGCACTGCCTCCTCAGTCCTCAGCTGAGTGGTCACGGCTGAGTGCACGCTCCTCTCTCCACAGAAGGTTCCAGGTGTGCTGCATGTGGGAGGGGTGCTGAGGGACCTGCGGGAGGCTGGCCCCCACAGTGCACCTGGCCTGACTCAGCCGCTCTCCTCTCCTCTCCCATCACCGGCTGGCAGTGCGGATTCCTGGGGCAGTGGGGGGGTGCGCTGATCAGGAGACTTGGTCCTTGGTCCCCCAGATAATGAGCAAAGCATGGAGGTCCTTCTGTGTCGCTGTCCTTGGCCAGCTCCTTCCCGCCCCGTGCCGCCTGGCTCTGCAGTGCTCCCACCGCCCGCCTGCTCCTGGCGGGTGCTCCAGTGCCAGCGCTCCTGCAGTCCTCCGCCTCTGTCTTTTCCTGGCAGGGCTGGCGTTTGAGGTCTGGACTTATGGCTGCTAGGCAGGCACTCTACTTCCCAAACCCTGTCCTCAGGCCTTTCTGCTTTACTTTCTGATTCTGGGACCTCTTACCCAGGCTAGCGTGGGATACCATAGTCCTCCTGTCTGCATCTTCTTCCTGGCCAGGGCCTCAGTTCCAGGGGTAATGACCGGTCCTGACAGCCTCTGGACCACATCTCAGTCAGGTGTCTGACTCCTTGGCCTGGCAGGCCGACCTCTGGTGTCCAGCAGTGTTTGAGAAATCCAGGATGGACAAGAATCTTGCTAAGGGTTTAGTGAGAATCCTCATGCCCGGGCCTGGCAACCCGGCCCTCGGATCACGGGCCTGCCTTTACCAACAGTGCTATCCAGC